TCGGAACTGGGATTTCCTGCCCGGAAAAATATAGAAGGGGGGGTCGTAAAACAAAAAAAAAAAAAAAAAAAGAAAGAAAACCCCCAAAACAACAACAACGAAATCAGGACTTGTTTTAAGAAATAGCTTAATGATAAAAGTATTGAGAAATGTTAGGCTGGTGCCTATCTTTCAGGTTGGTGAACATGTAGTAAGGGCAGGTCAAGTGGGGTATTTATATTTATGGAATTGTGTTACATGTACTTTTTCCATAGTCCTGGAGGACTGGGAGATAGAGCACATCACTGATGAGCATCCTGCTCCCTTGATTTCCCATAGAATGTATAACAAATTTGAATGTCAAATCCAGACCAATGAGGTGCTACAATTTTGGGTCACTGCCTAGGATGAGGACATTTTCTCCTGTAAGTGTAGTTGTTATAACATTTTTAATAACAGAGCTTTCCAAAACCGCATGACCTAGTTTATATAGTACTTAAAAGTTTTGGTAACTAGTGCTAAGATAGTAATAATTCTATGCCCATTTTTTTCCTTTATTATTTTTTCTAACCTTTGAATAATAAAACTTTTTGAGATGATAAAGCGGTTTGTTTTTTTCCTTTAATGGACTGAGGTGGCTTTTAAAGATACACCTCAATTTTGGGTGTATATGTTTTTGAACTTTTGTTTTCTACCTGAAATATATAATTATCATTTTCTCTCTTGATTTTCTCATATAAATGTTTTATTGTAAAATTTTAATTTCATTAATCATAACAGTACCAATATGTAAGACAGACATCTGTAGACAGCACCTAGTGTCTGTGCAAGAATATTTGTATAGATAAATTGTAATAATTACATAACTACAGGGTGAACTGTCTTTACAACCTGTGACAGTCTATTGGAGTTTGATGAGCATAATACTTTCTGGGTGGGTGGAGACACTAGTGTTTACTGATTAATAATAAGTACAGGTATAAAAATTCCTAGTGTAAGGGACAACCACACTTGTGATTTCTGTATAGGGACACTGGTTTAGGAGGGACAGTTGTCAGCATGTTTGGTCTTAAAAACAAAATTGTTTTCCTTAAATAAAATAAAAGTCATTGGTGTAGGTGCTTTGCTAATCTTTCTGTTTTTTTGTAATTTACTTTTTAAAAATGCTTTATTTTTTATTTTTTGATGTGTATGAGTGTTATGCCTACATGTAAGTAAGTGCACCCATGTCATGCATTGGCCGAGCAAGACAGAAGAGACTGTCAGATTCCATGGAACTGGAGTTACAGATAGTTGTTAGTTGCCATGTGGGCACTGGGATTTGAACCTGGGTCTTCTGCAAGAACAGTCAGTGTTCTTGACCGCTGAGCCATCTCTCCAGCCCTCTTTTTATCACTTTTCTAAGATGAGGTCTCTCTGGGGCAAGCTGGTCTGGAACTCTTTATGTAGCCCAGACTGGTCTCAAACTGGAAGAAATTATCCTGTTTGCGCCCCTGTTTTTTATATTTTTTTGGTGGGAAATACTTTTTATTTTGTTTCATTTCTTCACATAGACTCTTGCTGTGTAGTCCAGGCTAGTCCCTTGTGCTGGGATTACAGGGTGCACAGCCTGATGGGAAATCTGTCCTTAAAATGGAAAAGAGGAGAATGCAAGCAAAGCTAAACTTTCATTACTATTCAGATAATGTAACCTGTCATTACTGTGGCATATAGCTGTGTGCTCAACACACTGTGTCCCCTGATAGTCTACTGTTGGAAGTTATCAACAAATCGAGTGGTCAGGGAGAGGTACCTTGCAATAAATGCAGTGAAACATCATCCCTTCCCTGATTTTTAAAAAAATGCTTTGTATTTTAAAAATAAAAGTGTGAAATGAAAAAAGCACACAGCTATGCTTATATCCTGTTTATTTCTCAAGCTTTATTTTTGTAACTTGATACCATAATGGGATTTGTATCATTCACAGTCATAGATCCATAGATCTGAGAGGTACCCTGTAGGTGATCTAACACTGTACTATTGATGGAAATCTGAGGCACAGTAGTTTACAGTCCACACCAGAACTCATCATCACTCTTTTTCATAGTTCTGGATTCTCTGGTTGTTATCAACCATTATCTGTATTTTAAATTTCATAAAATGTTAAACATTCTACATAGGAAGAATTCTCAAACACTTTGGTATCTACTTTATATCCTGACTTCACGTTTAGTAGTTGTGGTTTAACTTTTGTTTTTTGTTTTTGCTTTTGCTTTTTGAGGCAGGGTCTCACCATGTAGCCCTGGCTGGAAGATCTGCCTGCTGAGTGTTGGGATTAAAGGTGTGAACCACAACACTCAGCGAAATTTAACTTAAATTTTGTTTTTTGTATACTTTGGATTGTACCTAGGGCCTTATACTAGGCAAGTGCTGTATTACTGTATCCTTAACCCTCTTTTTATTTTTTGTTCTGTAGTTTGAGACAGGGTCTCATGAAGTTTCCCAAGCGGGCCTGGAACTAACTGTAGTAGAGGCAGGCCTTGAACTTGTAATCCTTCTACCTTAGCCTCTCCGTTGACTAGGATTACAGACCTTTGCTACCAGGCCTGCTTTATGATTTACCTTATTATAGACAACGTATCAGTATGTAATCCTGACTGTCCTGGAACTCAGAGATCTGCCCACCTCTGCCTCCTGAGTGCTGAGACTAAAGATGTGTATCTCCATGCCCAGCTATAATTTAGGTTTTTAAAAACCGAGGTGATTTTTCATTTTGGTGTTAGTATTATTGAACTAACACTTTAGTGTTAGTAGTATACCTCCTTTTAAATATATTTTGACAATGCTGAGAGTGATCCAGTGCCTTGTGCACATTAGGTAAACACTACCACTGCTTTGCATCTCTAGCTCCTTTGTGAGGTTCTGAACGAAGGTCTTTTAGAAACAAAGATGTTCAGTATGACATGTTTTTGGATTGATATCTATAATTTTTTCAGTTCGCATGTTCTTTTTTTTGCACTCCTTAAGTTTGGAACTTGGATTGAGCACATGCAAAAGGTGACAGTTTTCAGTATCAGTCTCATGATGATAGTTAGCTTTTAATTTCTTCCTTCTACCAGCTTCATTGCTTTCTGCAGGGCTGAGGCCTTCTGCATGCTAGGCCAGCATTCTACCACTCCACAGGGAGAGGCAGATTACTGCAAGCTTGAGGTCAACCTAGTTTACATAGGGAGTTCTAATGCTGCGTAATGGAGACTGCTAAAAAAAGTCTTAAGAACTCAACTTTTTGATGTCTTAAGACTCCTTTAATAGGTACTAGGATACAGTGTGTCCATTGAGTATGTGTGTGCTTATATTTGACCCCAGGGCTTTTGGTCCATAAATTATTAGCACTAAGTTTTAAGTGACTTTTCACCCTAACATAACAAAATTAAATTTTTACATGGACTTGGAGAATTAAATGAAGTTGCTTTAGCAGTGATCAGAAACATAGTAAGTATACCAACAGAATTAATATGATAAGGACTATAGAAAAGTTGAGATTATGGTTTTGAAGGAGGATCTTGCTTTGAAGCCCAGACTAATCTAGAACTTGACATATAGCCCAGTCTAGCCTCTTCAAATCCTC